CCTAGGGCAGCAGGCTCACTAGCACCTAGAGCAGCAGCCTCACCAGCACCTAGAGCAACAGCCTCAATGCCCGGGTCAGGCGGAAAACACCGGTAACAGTCACCCTCATCACTAATAGTCACAGCATACATTGCAGCTAGAATAGCATCATAATCAAGATCAAAGATCGCAACATCCGCCCTAAACAGCTCGCCCCAGCGAGGGATCTTAGTAGCGTCGGGGAACTGATGACGCCAAGCGTCCGTCAGGCGGCCAAAGCAGCGCTGGGTGGAGTGCGGACCCCCACACTGCTCACCCGTGCGGTCGCCTGTACGTAGAACGTAGGTACAGGGGCCTGCACCCCCACCCCGCTGACGAGCAGTGTACCACTCACGAAGCTGCTGGGGGGAAGGGGTCTCATGAGTGCGCTGCTGCTACTGCTGCTGGCGCTGACCACCACCGGAGCCGACCCTCTGCGAAGAGCTGCCCCGACCAGCTCCACCTCCGCCGCCGCTACCTCCACCACCGCCTCCACCTCCACCACCTCCGCTCGCACCGCCACCACCGCCGCCTCCTCCGCCTCCACTGCCGCCACTAGTGCCCCCACTCCCGCCACCACTCCCACCGCCACCCCCACCCCCTCCGCTGACTCCACCGCCGCCTCCACCGCCCCCGCCAGCTCCTCCAGCGCCCTTGCCCCCCTTGCCCTTGCCTGAGCGGCGTCTCCTACTAGGGGCAGACGCCGCGGCGACCGACTCAAGACCAACGAGGTCGGCCGCAGCAGCAGAGGCAACAGAGGGCAAGAGGGGGGAGGGGGAGCACCCCTCAAAGACAGGGGTACGAGGGTCACCACGAGAGGCTCCTACAGCGACTACACTCTTTTCTGCTGCTAGGAGGCGCTCCTCGAGGAGGTCAACGGTGAGGGTGGTGGGGCAAACAGAGAGGAAGTGGTCCCTGACCGAGCGAAGGGTGTCAAGGAGCCGGGTGACAATGTAGTAGAGGGTGATGTACATAGGGGGGGGGGTTCTTGGCGCAGAACTCAGCAGGAAGCGCAGCGCGGTAGCGAATGTCACTAGTGCGAAGGTGCGTAATGAGGTCAGCGACTGTGGGAAAAGCGGCGAGGTCAGGGAAGAGGTACGGCAGTATGAGGCAGCTAAGGGCAGCAGTGGCAGGGGAAGAGTAGCATGCAACGACAGCGTTGTACAAGATCTTAGCACTCTTGTACTGATTAAAATGCGCGCGCTCAGCGGTCGGTAAGTGGCGGCGCACAGCAAGGCGAGCAGCAGCATCGCGCGTGGCCCACTGTGAGCGAACAGTGGCGTCAACATCAACAGTAGGGGCAGGAGAGGCACCAGAGGTGAGGTCAAACAGAGAGAGACCGTCTGCCCTATCGCACTGTAGGAAAAGCTGCAGATCATCTACCCAGACCTCAAAGTCAACAGCCCGACCCTCTGCGTCAAAGGTGAGAACACTGGGGGTGGCCATGACAGCAGTAGACTGGCAGAGAGAGCAGCGGGGTAGGGCAGTGCAGTGGCAGAGGCGCTGCTCTTACCAGGCAGGTGGGGCGGGCCGAGGCAGGCCGGCAGGGACAGGGCCGCGACGGCAGGGACTGCGGCATGTCGGCTGCGGCGGCGTGGCGGCTCGGCGGCTCGGCGGCTCGGCTGCAGGGCGGCTCGGCGGCTCGGCGGCTCGGCAGCTCGGCGGCTCGGCGGCTCGGCAGCTCGGCGGCTCGGCGGCTAGGCAGCTCGGCGGTGACGGCGGCAAGGGCGGCTCGGCGGCTCGGCGGTGTCGGCGGCTCGGCTACTCGACGGGGTCGGGAAGGGCGGCTGAGGGGCCGAGGAAGGGCGGCAGGGCCGCGAAGGGCGGCGACGGGGCCGCAAGGGGCGGCAACGAGGCCGCTGAAGGGCGGCAACGAGGCCGCTGAGGGGCGGCGACGAGGCCGCTGAAGGGCGGCGACGAGGCCGCAAAAGGGCGGCGACGGGGCCGCGGAAGGGCGGCAATGGGGCCGCTGAAGGGCGGCGACGGGGCCGCGGAGGGGCGGCGACGTGGCCGCTGAAGGGCGGCGACGAGGCCGAGGGGAGGGGGGGATGGCGACGGGGCTGCTAAGGGCGGCTACGGGGTCGCGGCTCGGCGGCGACGAGGCCGAAAGGGGCGGCGACGGGGCCGTAAGGGGCAGCGACGGGGCCGTAAGGGGCGGCGACGGGGCCTTAAGGGGCGGCGACGGGGCCGTAAGGGGCGGTCGCGGAGCCGTGAGGGGCGGCGACGGGGCCGTAAGGGGCGGTCGCGGGGCTGTAAGAGGCGGTCGCGGCTCCGTAAGGGGCGGCGACGGGGCCGCTAAGGGGCCACGCGGGGCCTAGAGAGGGCAGCGATGGGGCCTGAGGGGCCGCTAAGAAGGGCGCGACGGGTTGCTAAGGGCGGGACACTAGGCGCGCTTCAGGCAGGGGCGGCACGCGCCCCGGGTAGGAAAAAAAAATCTTGGTGGGCCCTAGGAACAGTTCCCACGAGGGAACCTGCTCGATACCATGAGAAACTTAGAACGAGAACGGATTGACTAAGGAATGAAAGTGATACAAATATGAAACCCTAGAATTGTGTACCCCTTAGTATCTAATCCGCTACAGCCTACACAGGCTAGATCATATAAGTTTGACACTGACGACTCCACCTGATCCGCCATGTCGACCTCGGGATACCACCACCGAGGTCGGCCTTGCTAACTTCGCCTGGGCGACCGTCGCATTTCTCCGCAGAACCTCGTCACCCAGGTAACCTGGTCGACCGAGCAACCACGTCGACTAGCTGCACCCAGGTAACCAGCTCCTCGTCGACCAGCGCAGTTGTCAGCCGACCTCCAAAGTCGGGTACCCAAGGTCGGCATCACGAAGTTGACGCCCAGCTACTCGATGCCCAACTGCTCGGCGTCCTGAGTCGAGGTCGACGTCGGCCCCTCCTTCGTCAACCATCGGGTCATGTCGACCACCAGCAGGTCGACCAGCAGGCCTGGTTGACCAGCACTCCATCAGCCGACCACCCAAGTCGGCTGCCCCAAGTTGACGTCACCAAGTTGACGTCCTCCGCAGGTCGACTTCCCAGGTCGACCTCCCTGAAGTCGGCGCCACCCTAAAGTCGGCGCCCGTGCAATGGCCTCCGTGCAGGTCGACCTCCTCGTCAACCCGCTCGCCCACTGCTGCAGGTCGACTGCTCCCCTCACAACCGACCACGAAGTCGACTCCGCCCAAGCAAGGACGGGGCCAACACACAACAACCGTTTGAGAAAATGAGAACGAGAATGAATGAACTATGAATGAACTGAGTACAAGTACTAACCCTAATTGGGTTGTACCCCTTGTGGGCTACCCACTATAGCCTACACAATAAGCACAAGTTATATGTTCTGACACACCCCCATAGGCAAAGTGGGGGAGAACAGGGGGTCACAAGACCAGTCAAGCAAAGCAAAGCAAAGCAAGCTCAGGGTGGATCACAAAGTCACCACACATTCCGAGCACAAGTTCAAGGCCACAAGGCCAGTTCACATGCAGGAGTACATATATATAAAGGACTAGACAAGCAAGAGCAGGTGTATATATATATGCAATAGTACAAGCAAGGTCAAGAGGTGAGCAAGTGAGGCAAGACAGGCACAAGACCCAGCTGCGTGCAGAAGCGCTGATGATCACAAGGCGCAAGTGCCTTGGTGAAGACATCAGCAGTGTTGGCCTCAGAGGCCACGTACGCAAGCCGCAACTCACCACGCTGCTGTAGCTCACGAGCAAGGAAGTAGCGAAGAGCAATGTGCTTTGTTCTGTGCTCCAGTATCTGCTCTCGACACAGGGCCAGCATGGCCTTGTTGTCTACGTACAGGACTGGAGGAGAATGAGGTGACTCTCCAAGGTCGGTCAGCAGGTAGGTGAGCCAGCGAAGCTCCTGTGCAGCCATGGCCCCGGCGTAGATCTCAGCCTCACAACTAGAGCCGAGAACAGAAGACGAGCGGGTAGCCCGCCACGAAACAGAGCCGGAACCAAGGCTGAAGGTGTAACCCTGTGACGACCGCTGCGTAGCCTGGTCGTCAGCCCAAGAAGCGTCCGCGTGCCCAGTGAGGACTACTGAACTCCGCCCTCCAAGCACTAGCCCCATGCCCGACGTACTGCACAAGTAGCGCAACACCCTCTTCGCTGCAGCCATGTGCTCTGGTCGGTGTCTCCCAGGAGCAACATAGCGTGCGAGAATGCTAAGAGGGTATGCAAGGTCAGGTCGTGTGCAGGTCATCAGGTACATGAGGCAGCCAACAAGCTCTGCAAACGGGCCACTCGACTCTACGGACTCATCCGAAGGCAGAGCTGAGAGCGAGTGGCGAGTAGGTAGAGGAGTGGCCTGAGGCGAGGAGTACGTGAAGCCGAAGCGCTGAAGGACCTGCTGCACCATGTGTGACTGAGTCAGGGTAATGGTGCGGCGTGCTCTGTCCCGGGTGATCTGCAAGCCAAGGTAGCTGCGCAGTTCACCCAGGTCTGTGCACGTGTGTCTCTTCTGCAGCTCAGACTCGTAGGCGAGTCCAGCAGTGTCAGCTGTGGCAAAGACCAAGTCGTCAACGTATACGAGGATGTAGAACGGCGGCAGAGAAGTGTCGGTGCGCAGAAACAGCGACGGGTCGGCAGTAGAAGGAGCAAACCCAAGAGTCGCAAGCGTAGTCCTCAGTGTGTCGTGCCACTCACGTGGCGCCTGGCGGAGACCGTAGACTGGACGCCGGAGACTCCACTGGGTACCAGGAGGGAAAGACCCAGTGAAGCCAGGTGGGCGGCGCAGCCAGATCTCCTCGTGCAGGCTGCCCTGCAAGAATGCTGTGCTGAAGTCGAGAGAGTGCAGCTCGTAGTCACGGTGAGCAGCAACGTGCAGCAGTACCCGAAGAGTGGTCATCTTCGGGGTGGGAGAGAAGGTCTGAAAGTAGTCAACTCCCTGCCGCTGACTGAAGCCATGAGCCACGTAACACGCCTTGAAGACAGGCGGAGAACCCGGCGGCCGCTTCACCCTGAAGATCCACATGCCACTGACGATGTTCGCCCCAGGAGGGGGGACAGCGTCAACGTAGGTGCCTGTGGACTTCCAGGAAGCCATCTCTGCATCCATAGCTGTCTGCCACTGAGAAGAGTAGGGACCCTCTATCGCCTCCGCGTAAGAGCGCGGAGTCGAGATGTTAAGTGCATCCGGGTCTCCCTCAGGGGTAAGCAGTACGGACACGAGATGAGGTGAAGCAGCGGCCAAGCACTGGAACTCCTCCTGCCTGTCCTCAAGGACGTCCGTGCCAAGGGCACACTCACCCCCGACGGACGGAGGACAGACAGACTCAGACTCAGCGACAAGACTAGCTGCGTAGTCTAGGCGACAGCGAGCAGCAAAGTCGACGAGCTCAGCAACTAGGGCAGACGCATCAGTGGACTCGAAAGAAGGGTCAGTGACGACTGCATCTACCTGGGACACACCTGAAGGGGACGGACCCTGAGGGGGGAGGGGGTCTACCGGAGGGGGACCTGGCACAAGGAAGAGCGGCGGCAGGGGGAGGGACGGAGTGCGGTAGGGGAAGAGGCGGTAGTAGGGGACCGACTCGTCAAAGGTGACGTCCTGGGAGGACAGAACACGGCGAGAGGTGGGGTGGTAGAACTGCCACCCTGGCGCGTCAGGGGGGAACCCCGGGAAGACGCAAGGAGCAGCACGAGGGGACAGCTTGTCCGTAGACAAGTCGCGGACAAACGCCCGAGATCCCCAGACCCGGAACGCCGACGCATCGCCAACCTTCCCCGTCCACAGCAAGGCTGGGGAGGTCTCCGGCCTGGAGACCCTGGGGTGGAGGTTGAGCTGATGCACCGCGTACCTCACCGCAAACGGCCACAGAAAATGGGGAGCAGACGCATGCATCATAGACGTACGAGCGACGTCCATGACCATGCCAATGCGGCGCTCAGCAATCCCATTTTGCTGCGGGGAGTCCGGAAGCGTAAAGGTCTGACGCATTCCTCGTGCGCGACAGTAGGCTCGCAGAAGGCCAGAGGAGAACTCTCCGCCTCGGTCAGAGTGCAGACGCAGAACAGGAAAGTCCGAGCCAAAGCTCTGCCTGAGCTGGAGACGAGCTGCACGGATCCAGTCGATCAGCACCTCAGTGACATCACCCTTGCTGCGCAAGGGGAAGACTGCGGTGTAACGCGAGTAGTCGTCAACAACGAGCAGGAAGTAGCGCTCGTGACCCTGTCCATGGACGCGGGCTGAGCCCCACACGTCCATGTGAAGCGTCTGCAACGGGGCCTCTGTCGGAGGAAACTGGGAGGAGTGAGGCGCAGCCCGCTGGCGCCCCTCGACACAGGGGACACAGGTAGGGCCAGGGCCCTGAGGAAGGGGAGGGAGGGACCGAGGGAGACCAGAAACAAGAAGACGGGAGGCCATGCCTCTGACCCGAGGCAGAGAGGGGTGACCAAGGCGGTGGTGCCAGAGGAGAGTCTCGTGAGACAGGAGACGACACGAACAGGGGGCCGACTCAGGACCAGACCTGGAAGCTGCAGCAAACGCCTGACCCGACGCAGCGACCCTACCAGACTCAACACCTGGAGGAGACGTAGTGGTTAGTGTGTACAGGCTCGACCCCGGCTGACGGGTAAACGTAGCCAGGTGTCGGCCTGTGCTAGCCTCTGTGCAGTGCGTCACCCGCTGACGCGCAGGAGTGAACTGGTGTACTCCCCCATCCTGTAGGTCAGCACCACTCACCAGGTTTGTAGAGAACGAGGGGAGGTAGAGACCAGACAGGGTGCCAGAGGGAGCCGCCGGACACGGGAGGACTGTGGAGAAGTGAGTCAGGACAGGACCCCCAGAGGGGTCAGCGAGAGACACCGCAACCGGCCGACTAAGCGGCGTGAGTGTGGTGCGGTCCCGAAAGAAGGAGCGAGAAGCCCCAGAGTCAAGGGTGAAGGTGAGGGAGGCCGAAGCCGACGTAGTACCTGAGAGCGCAGACTCACCGGCACCTGAGGACGCAGACGCACTAGCACCTAGAGCAGCAGCGTCGCAAGCACCTAGGGCAGCCGCCTCACCAATACCTAGAGCAGCAGTCTCAATGCCCGGATCGGGCGGGAAACACCGGTAACAGCCACCCTCATCACTAATAGACACAGCATACATGGCAGAAAGAATAGCTTCAAAATCAAGATCATAGATGGCAACACCCGCCCTAGACAGCTCGCCCCAGCGAGGGATCTCTGTGGCCTCCGGGATCCGGTGACGCCACGCGTCCGTCAGGCGGCCAAAGCAGCGCTGGGTGGGGTGCGCACCCCCACACTGCTCACCCGCACGGTCGCCGGTGCGCAGGACGTAGGTGCACGGACCAAAACCCCCACCCTGCTGGCGTGCAGTGTACCACTCACGGAGCTGCTGAGGGGACAAGGTCTCACGACCGCGCTGCTGCTGCTGGCGCGGACCACCACCGGAGCCACTCCTCTGCGTAGACCCGCGACCAGCTCCACCGCCACCCTCGCCGCCTCCGCCGCCGCCGCTACTACCGCCGCCTCCGCCGCCTCCGCCACCGCCGCCACCTCCGCTCCCACCGCCACCGCCGCCGCCGCCTCCGCCTCCACTGCTGCCACCGACACCTCCACCCCCACCACCACTCCCACCGCCACCCCCACTCCCCCCGCCGCCTCCACCTCCACCTCCACCGCCCCCGCTCGCCCCTCCAGTGCCCCTGTCCCCCTTGCCCTTGCCAGAGCGACGTCTCCCGCTGGGGGCAGACGCCGCACCGACCGACTCAAGACCAAGGAGGTCGGCCGCAGCAGCAGAGGCAACAGAGGGCAGAAGGGGGGAGGGGGAACACCCCTCAAAGATGGGGGTGCGCGGGTCACCACGAGAGGCCCCTACAGCGACTATGCTCTTCTCGGCCGCTAGAAGGGACTTCTCGAGGAGGTCAACAGTGAGAGTGGTGGGACAGACTGAGAGGAAGTGGTCCCTGACTACGCGAAGGGAGTCAGGGAGGCGAGTGACTATGTAGTAGAGAGTGATGTACATGGGGGGGGGGTTCTTGGCGCAGAAGTCAGCAGGAAGCTGTCAGATTTATATGACATAGTTGCTGTAGGCTATAGTGGGGTAGCACATATGGGGTACAGGGTTTCTAGGGTTGTATTTGTACCCAATCTTTCCTTAGTCAATTCATTCCTGCTTACTCATTTCACATGGTATAGAGCGGGTTCCCTGTGGAACTCTGCCTAGGGCCCACCGAAGCGCGCCCCGAGGCGCGCTCAACTTTTTTTTTTTTCCGCTCTCGAGCGACCCTCCGTGTCGCCTCTCTCCCACACGCGGCCCAGCCGCCCGCTAAGTCGTGGCCCCAGCCGCCCGCTACGATCGCGGCCCCAGCCGCCTGCTCGACGCGGCCCCCAGCCGCCTGCTCGACGCGGCCCCCCAGCCGCCTGATCGACGCGGCCCTGCCGCCCGCTACGCCGCGGCCGCCGCCCACTACGATCCCGGCCCCGGCCGCCTGCTACGACCGCGGCCCCAGCCGCCTGTTCGACCGCGGCCCCGCCGCCCGCTCCTGTCGCGGCCCCGGCTGCCTGCTCGCACGGCCTCGCCGCCCGCTACTACCGCGGCCCCGGCCGCCTGCTCGACCGCGGCCCCCCAGCCGCCTGTTCGACCACGGCCCCGCTGCCCGCTACTGTCGCGGCCCCGGCCGCCTGCTAGCGCGGCCTCGCCGCCCTCTACTACCGCGGCCCCGGCCGCCTGCTTGCACGGCCCCGCCGCCTGCTACGACCGCGGCGCCAGCCGCCTGTTCGACCGCGGCCCCGCCGCCTACTACCGTAGCGGCCCCGGCCGTCTTCTCGCGCGGCCCCGCCGCCCACCTACTACCGCGGCCCCAGCCGCCTGCTCGCACGGCTTCGCCGCCTGCTACGACCGCGGCCTCCCAGCCCACTAGGCTGCGGCCGCCGCCTGCTCAACCGCGGCTTCGCCGCCCACTACGCATCGGCCCCGCCGTCCACCACTGTCGCTGACCTCATTACGCATCTCCGCACTAGTGACACTCGCTACCGCGCCGCCCTTCCTGCTGAGTTCTGCGCTAAGAACCCCCCCCCCCATGTACATCGCTCTCTACTACGTAGTCGCGCGCCTCCCTGACTCCCTTCGAGTCGTCAGGGACCACTTTCTCGCAGTCTGCCCCACCACGCTCACCGTCGACCTCCTCGAGAAGGCCCTCCTCGCAGCGGAGAAGAGCATAGTCGCTGTAGGTGCTTCTCGTGGTGACCCTCGCACCCCCATCTTTGAGGGGTGCTCTCCTTCCCCCTTGCTGCCCTCTGTTGTCTCTGCTGCTGCTGCCGACCTGCTTGGTCTTGAGTCGGTCGGCGCGGCGTCTGCCCCTAGTGGGAGACGTCGCTCCAGCAAGGGCAAGGGGGGCAAGGGCGCGGGTGGAGCTGGAGGGGGCGGTGGCGGTGGCGGCGGTGGCGGCGGAGGGAGTGGGGGTGGCGGCGGGACTAGTGGCGGGGGTGGTGGTGGTGGTGGCAGCAGCGGCGGGGACAGTAGTGGTGGTGCCAGCGGTGGTGGTGGAGGCAGCGGCGGGGGTGGAGGCGGCGGAGGTGGAGGCGGTGGAGGCGGCGGCGGAGGAGGCAGTGGTGGTGGAGGGGGTGGAGCTGGTCGGGGTGGTACCCAGCAGCGTGGCGGCGGTGGTGGTGGCCAGCGCTCGCACCGGCAGCAGCAGCAGCGCTCTCGGGACATCCCTTCGCCTCAGCAGCTTCGTGAGTGGTACACTGGGCGTCAGAGGGGTGGGGGTACTGGTCCCTGCACCTACGTTCTTCGTTCCGGCGACCGCGCGGGTGAGCAGTGTGGGGGTGCCCACGCCACCCAGCGCTGCTTTGGCCGCCTGACGGACGCCTGGCGTCAGCAGTTCCCTGGGGCTAGTGAGATCCCTCGCTGGGATGAGCTTCTCAGGGCTGGTGTAGCGATCTTTGATCTTGATTTTGATGCTATCCTTACTGCTCTGTATGTTGTGGATTATAGTGAGGAGAATGAGGGTTACCGTTGTTTCCAGCCCGACCCGGGCATTGGTACTGCTGCGCTAGGTGCTTGTGAGGCTGCTGCTCTAGGTGCCAGTGCGTCTGCGCTCTCAGGTACTGGTGAGACTGCGCTCTCAGGTACTGCGTCGTCCTCGTCCTCCCTCACTTTCACACTTGACTCCGGAGCTTCTCGCTCCTTCTTTCGAGACCGCACTACCCTTACGCCGCTCGGCCGACCGGTTGCAGTCTCCCTTGCTGACCCCTCTGGAGGTCCTGTCCTGTCTCACTTCTCCACTGTCCTCCCGTGTCCGGCTGCCCCTTCGGGCACCCTGTCGGGTCTGTACCTTCCCTCGTTCTCCACGAACTTGGTGAGTGGAGCGGACCTGCAGGATGGGGGTGTTCACCAGTTCACTCCTGCGAGTCAGCGGGTGACCCACTGCACGGAGGCACGCACAGGCCGACACCTGGCCACGTTCTCGCGTCGGCCGGGGTCGAGTCTCTACACCCTGACCGTTGAGTCTCCTCCTGTCCCTGCGTCTGGTCAGGTGGCTGCGTCGGGTCAGGTACTTGCTGCTGCGTCCCGGTCAGGTCCTGAGTCTGCCCCCTGTTCTTGTCGCCTCCTGTCTCACGAGACTAACCTGTGGCACCACCGTCTTGGCCACCCCTCCTTGCCCCGTCTTCGGAGCATGGCTTCCCGTGTCCTTGTCTCTGGTCTTCCCCAGTCTCTCCCTCCTCTCCCCTCCGGTCCAGGACCTTCCTGTGTCCCCTGTGTCGAGGGTCGCCTCCGGGCTACTCCTCACTCCTCCCACTTCCCCCCGACAGAGGCTCCCCTGCAGACGCTTCACATGGATGTGTGGGGCCCAGCCCCCGTCCGTGGGCAGGGTTACGAGCGCTACTTCCTGTTGGTGGTTGACGACTACTCGCGTTACACCACAGTCCTCCCCTTGCGCAGCAAGGGTGCGGTCACTGAGGTGCTGATTGACTGGATCCGCGAAGCTCGTCTCCAGCTCAGGAAGAGCTTCGGCTCGGACTTTCCTGTTCTGCGTCTGCACTCGGACAGAGGCGGAGAGTTCTCTTCTCGCCTTCTGCGGGACTATTGTCGTGCACGGGGGATCCGCCAGACCTTCACGCTTCCGGACTCACCACAGCAAAATGGGATTGCTGAGCGCCGCATTGGCATGGTCATGGATGTCGCTCGTACGTCCATGATGCATGCGGCTGCCCCCCATTTTCTGTGACCGTTTGCAGTGAGGTACGCGGCGCATCAGCTCAACCTTCACCCCCGGGTCTCCCGGCCTGCGATGTCCCCAGCCTTGCTGTGGACGGGGAAGGTTGGCGATGCGTCTGTGTTCCGTGTCTGGGGATCTCGGGCGTTTGTCCGCGACTTGTCTGCGGACAAGCTGTCCCCTCGTGCTGCTCCCTGTGTCTTCCTTGGCTTCCCCACTGACGCCCCAGGGTGGCAGTTTTACCACCCCTCCTCTCGTCGTGTTCTGTCCTCCCAGGACGTCACGTTTGACGAGTCAGTCCCCTTCTACCGTCTCTTCCCCTACCGCACTCCTTCCCTCCCCCCTCCCCCGGACTTCCTTGTGCCGGTTCCCCCCCCGGTAGACCCCCTCCCCCCTCAGGTTCCTGCCCCCTCAGGTGTGTCCCAGGTAGACGCCGTTGACCCGGTCGAGGTTACTGGTGACTCTGGTGCTGCTGCGGGTGCTGAGCCTGGGGGTGCTGACTCTGGGGGTGCTGTGCGCGGGGGTGCTGAGCCTGGGGGTGCTACTGCTGGGGGTGCTGGGCCTGAGGGTGCTACTGCGGAGGGTGCGGAGCCTGGGGGTGCTGAGCCGGGGGGTGCTGTGCCTGGGGGTGCGGGGTCTGGGGGTGCTGGGTCGGGAGCTACTGAGCCTGGAGGTGCTGAGCTGGGAGCTGCTGCGCCTGGGGGTGCTGCGTCTGGAGCTGCTGAGCCTGGGGTTTCTCCTGCTGCTGCGTCTCGCCGGGAGCCCCTCTCTCCACAGGAGCTGCGCGAGTGGTTCGCTCGCCGCTGGAGGCGTGCTGCTGAGTCTGGAGGTGCTGCTGGAGCTGGAGCTGGAGCTTCTTCGACCGTCGTGGGTGCGGGTGCTGCCGGTCCCGGAGCTGCTGGACCTGCGGGTCCTCCTGGAGCTGGAGCTGCTGAGGGAGCTGGTGCTGAGCCTACTGCTGTTGGTCCTGCCACTGGAGGTGTGGGTGGCGCTGGTGCTGTCGCTGAGGGTGCTAGTGCAGACCCTGCTGCGTCTGGAGCTGCCACGCGGCCTCGGCCGTACTTCGTTCCGCTCTTGCAGCAGGTTCTTGGTCTTTCTCCTCCGGTAGAGGGTCCACCGCCTGTCCAGTCGCAGTCCCTGCTGGAGCCTTCCTCTCCACTGCCTGCTCCCTCTCCTTACACTGGTCCTACTGGAGGTCTTGCTGAGCGTCGTGAGCCTGCGTCTCGTCCCGCGTCGCCTGTTCGTGCTGCTCGCGCTAGTGGTCGCAGTTCGCGTCAGCGTCCTCCTCCTGTCCCTGGCACGCACCGGATGTCTTTGCGTCCGTCCACTGCTCCTCTGCGTGCCCCTTTGCCTTCTCCTCCTGAGTCCTCTCTTCCTGCGCTTGCCGACCCTGAGTCGGACTCTCTTCGTGCTGCCAGTCCTACTGTCACGCGTCTGCTTGCTACTGTCGTCACTGACCCCTCTTTTGAGTCCACTGCTGCGTCTGCTCTAGTCGCTGAGCTCGTCGACTTTGCTGCTCGCTGTCGTCTCGACTACGCTGCTAGTCTTGTTGCTGAGTCTGCGTCTGTCTGTCCTCCGTCCGTTGGGGGTGAGTGTGCTCTTAGCACGGACGTCCTAGAGGACAGGCAGGAGGAGTTACAGTGTCTAGCGGCTGCTTCACCTCATCTCGCGTCTGTACTGCTTGCCCCTGAGGGAGACCCGGATGCACTAGACATCCCGACTCCGCGTTCTTACGCGGAGGCCGTAGAGGGTCCCTACTCCTCTCAGTGGCAGGCAGCTATGGATGCAGAGATGGCTTCCTGGAAGTCCACAGGCACCTACGTTGACGCGGTTCCCCCTCCTGGGGCGAACATCGTCAGTGGCATGTGGATCTTCAGGGTGAAGCGGCCGCCGGGCTCTCCACCTGTCTTCAAGGCACGGTACGTTGCTCGTGGCTTCAGTCAGCGGCAGGGAGTTGACTACTTTCAGACCTTCTCTCCCACCCCGAAGATGACTACTCTTCGGGTGCTGCTGCACATAGCCGCTCAGCGCGACTACGAGCTTCACTCTCTCGACTTCAGCACTGCGTTCTTGCAGGGTAGCCTGCACGAGGAGATCTGGCTTCGCCGTCCACCTGGCTTCACTGGGACTTTCCCTCCTGGCACCCAGTGGAGCCTCCGACGGCCAGTCTACGGTCTCCGCCAGGCACCGCGTGAGTGGCACGACACACTGAGGACTACGCTTGCGGCTCTTGGGTTTGCTCCTTCTACTGCTGACCCGTCGCTGTTTCTTCGCACCGACACTTCCCTGCCGCCGTTCTACATCCTCGTGTACGTCGACGACTTGGTCTTTGCCACAGCAGACACTGCTGGACTCGCCTACGTGAAGTCCGAGCTGCTGAAGAGACACACGTGCACAGACCTGGGTGAACTGCGCAGCTACCTTGGCTTGCAGATCACTCGGGACAGAGCACGCCGCACCATTACCTTGACTTAGTCACACATGGTGCAGCAGGTCCTTCAGCGCTTCGGCTTCACGTACTCCTCGCCTCAGGCCACTCCTCTGCCTACTCGCCACTCACTCTCAGCTCTGCCTTCGGATGAGTCCGTAGAGTCGAGTGGTCCGTATGCAGAGCTTGTTGGCTGCCTCATGTACCTGATGACCTGCACACGACCTGACCTTGCATACCCTCTGAGCATTCTTGCACGCTATGTTGCTCCTGGGAGACACAGACCGGAGCACATGGCTGCAGCGAAGAGGGTATTGCGCTACCTGTGCAATACGTCGGGCATGGGGCTAGTGCTTGGAGGGCGGAGTCCAGTGGTCCTTACCGGCCACGCGGACGCTTCTTGGGCTGACGACCAGGCTACGCAGCGGTCGTCACAGGGTTACACCTTCAGCCTTGGTTCCGGCTCTGTCTCGTGGCGGTCTACTCGCTCGTCTTCGGTTCTCGGCTCCAGTTGTGAGGCTGAGATCTACGCCGGGGCCATGGCTGCACAGGAGCTTCGCTGGCTCACCTACCTGCTGACTGACCTTGGAGAGTCGCCTCGTTCTCCTCCAGTGCTGTACGTAGACAACAAGGCTATGCTGGCCTTGTGTCGAGAGCAGCGCTTGGAGCACAGAACGAAGCACATTGCTCTCCGCTACTTCCTTGCTCGTGAGCTGCAGCAGCGTGGTGAGTTGCGACTTGCGTACGTGGCCTCTGAGGCCAACACTGCTGATGTGTTCACCAAGGCACTCGCGCCTTGTGACCATCAGCGCTTTTGCACCCAGTTGGGTCTTGTGCCTGTCTTGCCTCACTTGCTCTCCTCTTGACTTCACTTGTACTGTGACATATATATATGCCTGCTCTTGTTTGTCTAGTTTTATATATATGTCTGTACTCCTGCATGTGAACTGGCCTCTGGCCCTACTCTTGTGCTCGGACTGTGTGGTGACTTTGTGATCCACCCTGAGCTTGCTTTGCTTTGCTTGACTGGTCTTGTGACCCCTTGTTCTCCCCCACTTTGCCTATGGGGGTGTGTCAGATTTATATGACATAGTTGCTGTAGGCTATAGTGGGGTAGCACATATGGGGTACAGGGTTTCTAGGGTTGTATTTGTACCCAATCTTTCCTTAGTCAATTCATTCCTGCTTACTCATTTCACAGAAGCGCAGCACGGTAGCGAGTGTCACTAGTGCGGAGGTGCGTAATGAGGTCAGCGACAGTGGGAAAGGCAGCAAGGTGAGGGAAGAGGTACGGTAGCATGAGACGGCTCAGTGCAGCAGTGGCAGGGGAGGAGTAGCGCGCAACTACAGCGTCGTACAAGGTCTGAGCACTCTTGTACTGACTAAAGTGCGCACGCTCGGAGGTAGGGAGGTGGCGACGTACAGCAAGACGTGCAGCAGCGTCGCGTGTGGCCCATTGGGAGCGAACAGTGGCGTCAGCATCAGCAGCAGGGGCAGGAGAGGCGCTAGAGGTGAGGTCAAAGAGAGAGAGACCGTCTGCCCTATCGCACTGTAAGAACAGCTGCAGGTCATCTACCCAGACGTCAAAGTCAATGGCTCGACCCTCAGCGTCAAAAGCGAGGACTCTAGGGGTAGCCATGACCACAGTAGACTAGCAGTGCAACAGTAGGGTGAGGGCAGTGTAGCAAAAAGGAGGCACTGTGCTCACCGGACAGGGCAGCTCGGGCGGCTCGGCTGCTGGGCGGCTCGGCTGCAGGGCGGCTCGGCTGCTCGGCTGCTGGGCGGCTTGGCTGCTGGGCGGCTCGGCTGCTCGGCTGCTGGGCGGCTCGGCTGCAGGGCGGCTCGGCTGCTCGGCTGCTGGGCGGCTCGGCGGTCGGCTGTCCGGCTGCTCGGTTGCCCGGGCGGCTCGACGGTGCTGCTGCAGGGCGGCGCGGCGGTCGGCTGCTCGGCTTGGTGGGACGGGTCAGGAAGCCCGGGCGGTGGGCTGCGCTGCAGCATGTGACGGGGCCGCAGGTGAGGGCGGCGGGGCCGCCAACGAGAGGGGCGGGGCCATAGGTGAAAGCGGCGGGGCCGCAGGTGAGGGCGGCGGGGCCGCAGCAGAGGGCGGCGGGGCCTCAGAGAAGGGCGGCGGGGCCGCAGCAGCTGAGGGCGGCGGGGCCGCAGCAGTTGAGGGCGGCGAGGCCGCAGTTGAGGGCGGCGGAGCCGCAGGTGAGGGCGGCGGGGCCGCTGTAGTTGAGGGCAGCGGGGCCGCAGGTGAAAGCGGCGGGGCCGCAGGTGAGAGAGGCGGGGCCGCAGCAGAGGGCGGCGGGGCCGCAGAGAAGGGCGGCGGGGCCGCAGTTGAGGGCGGCGGGCCGCAGGAGAAGGGCGGCGACGGGCCGCTTGTGAAAGGGCGGCGCGACGCGGCCGTTAGGGCTGCGCGACGCGGTCGTAAGGGCGGCGGGATGGGCCGCTAAGGGCGACGCGACGGGCCGCTAAGGGCGACGCGACGGCCGCTAGGAAGGGCGTGACCCTAGGCGCGCTTCGGGCAGGGGCAGGACGCGCCCCGGGCAGTAAAAAAAGGGAGGATCGGTGGGCCCTAGGAACAATTCCCACGAGGGAACCTGCTCGATACCATGAGAAAATGAGAACGAGAATGAATGAACTATGAATGAACTGAGTACAAGTACTAACCCTAATTGGGTTGTACCCCTTGTGGGCTACCCCACTATAGCCTACACAATAAGCACAAGTTATATGTTCTGCCACCGTTGACAGTGGATTCATGCGCTCTCTGAACTTTTGTCGGCAAAAACGGCCGAATTCTTAGGCGGCGAACTTTCTTTGCGCAAGAACCAGGCCAAAAAGGCTCGAATAGGTGTATTTGAGCATGGGCCACTCGAATATGCAATAAGAATCAGGTTCTTGAATGCTTTTCCTTACGCCTATAGGGTTTAATGTGCTCTTTGAGCGTTTGTCGGCAAAAACGGCCGAAATCGTAGGCACATAATTTTTCTTGGCCCAAGAACCAGGCTGAAAAAGGCTCTACTAGGTGTATTTGAACATGGGACAATCGAATATGCAATAACAATCAGATTGTTGAATGCTTTTCCCTACGCCTATAGGAATTCATGCACTCTCTGAGCGTTTGTCGGCAAAAACGACCGAAATCATAGGCGCCGAACTTTTCTTTGCGCAAGAACCAGGCCGAAAAAGCTCTAATAGGTGTATTTGAACATGGGCCACTAAAAAATGAAATAACAATCAGGTTGTTGAATGCTTTTCCCTACGCCTTTTGGGACTCATGCGCTCTCTGATCATTTGTCGGCATACGACTGAAATCATAGGCGCCAAACTTTTCTTGGTGCAAGAACCAGGCCGAAAAGGCTCTAATAGGTGTATCTGAACATGGGACAATCGAATATGCAATAACAACCAGGTTGTTGAATGCTTTTCCCTACGCCTAGGGTTTCATGCGCTCTCTGAGCGTTTGTCGGCAAAAATGGGCAAAATTGCCGAACTTTTCTTTGCACAAGAACCAGGCCAAAAAGGCTCTGATAGGTGTATTTGAACATGGGCTACTCGAATATGCAATAAGAATCAGGTTGATGAATGCTTTTTCCTTGGCCGATATGGATTCATGCGCTCTCTGAGCATTTGTCGGCAAAAAGAGCCGAAATCTTAGGCGCCGAACTTTTCTTTGCGCAAGAACCAGGCCGAAAAGGCTCTAATAGGAGTATTTGAACAAGGGCCACTGGAATATGCAATAAGAATCAGGTTGCTGAATGCCTTTCCCTACGCCTATATAGATTCATGCGCTCTGTGGCCATTTGTCGTAAAAAAATTGGCCGAATGTTTAGGCGCCGAACTTTTCTTTGTACAAGAACCAGGCCAAAAAGGCTATGATAAGTGTATTTGAACAAGGGCTACTGAAATATGCAATAAGAATTAGGTTGCAGAAAGCTTTTTCCAACGCATACAGGGATTCATGCGCTCTCTGAGCATTTGTCGGCAAAAACGGCCGAAATCTTAGGCGCCGAACTTTTCTCAGTGCAAGAACCAGGCCGAAAAGGCTCTATTATGTGTATTTGAACAAGGGCCACTGGAATATGCAATAAGAATCAGGCTGTTGAATGCTTTTTCCTAGGCCTATAGGCATTCATGCGCTCTCTGAGCGTTTGTCGGCAAAAACTTCCGAAATCTTTGGCGCCGAACTTTTCTTTGTACAAGAACCAGGCCGAAAAGGCTCTAATAGATGTATTTGAACATGGGCCACTTGAATATGCAATAAGAAACAGGTTTCTGAATGCTTTTTTCCTACTTCTATAGGGATTTGTGCGCTCTCTAAACGTTTGTCGGCAAAAACGGCCGAAATCTTAGGCGCCAAATTATTCTTTGCGCAAGAACCAGGCCGAAAAGGCTCTAATAGGTGTATTTGAACAAGGGCCACTGGAATATGCAATAAGAATCAGGTTGCCGAATGCTTTTCCCTACGCCTAGATGGATTCATGCGCTCTGTGGGCATTTGTCGCAAAAAAGGGCCGTATTTTTAGGCGCCAAACTTTTCGTTGCACAAGAACCAGGCCGAAAAGGTTCTGATAGGTGTATTTGAACATGGGCTACTCGAATATGCAATAAGAATCAGGTTGCTGAATGCTGTTTCCTACGCCTATAGGGATTCATGCGCTCTCTGATCGTTTGTCGGCAAAAACGGTCGAAATCTTAGGCGCCGAACTTTTCTCAGCGCAAGAACCAGCCCGAAAAGGCTCTAACAGGTGTATTTGAACAAGGGCCACTGGAATATGCAATAAGAATCAGGTTGCTGAATGCTTTTTGTCAGAACATTATAGCTTATACATTAGTGTAGGCTGTAGTGGGGTAGCCCATAAGGGGTACAACCCAATTAGGGTTAGTACTTGTTCCCAACTCTTTCTTAGTCCAACCATTCTCGTTCTCTTTTCTCATGGTATCGAGCAGGTTCCCTAGTGGGAACTGTTCCTAGGGCCCACCGACTTTTTTTTTCCTGCCGGGGGCGTGTCCCGCCCCTGCCCGAAGCGCGTTTAGGGTCGCGCCTTCCCTAGCGGCCCCGTCGCGTCGCCTTTAGCGGCCCGTCGCGCCGCCCTTAGCGGTTCCGTCACGCCGCCCTTCGCGGCCGCGTCGCGCCGCCCCTTCGTGGCCCCGTCGTGCCGCCCCTTTTGCGGCCCCGTCGTACCGCCCTCAACGGCCCGTCGCCGCCCTCCCCCTGTGGCCCGTCGCTGCCCTTTCACCTGCGGCCCCGTCGCCGCCCTTACAGCGGCCCCGTCGCTGCCCTTGCAGAGGCCCCGTCGCTGCCCTCCCCTTACGGCCCGTCGCCGCCCTTACAGCGACCCCGTCGCCGCCCTTACAGCGGCCCCGTCGCCGCCCTTACAGCGGCCCCGTCGCCGCCCTCCTCTTACGGCCCGTCGCCGCCCTTTCAGCGGCCCCGCCGCCTTCTTCAGCGGCCCCGTCGCCACCCCTGCAGCGGCCTCGACGCCGTTCCTTCAGCGGCCCCGCCGCCTCCTCTGCGGCCCCGTCGCCGCCCACTTCAACGGCCCCGCCGCCCTTCGCGGCCCCGCCTTCCTTAGCGGCACAGCCGCCCAGCAGCCGAGCCGCCGAGCAGCCGAGCCGCCCAGCAGCCGAGCCGCCGAGCCGCCCAGCAGCCGAGCCGCCGAGCCGCCGAGCCGCCCAGCAGCCGAGCCGCCGAGCAGCCGAGCTGCCTAGCAGCCGAGCCGCCGAGCCGCGCAGCAGCCGAGCCGCCGAGCCGCCGAGCCGCCCAGCAGCCGAGCCGCCGAGCAGCCGAGCCGCCCAGCAGCCGAGCCGCCGAACAGCCGAGCCGCCCGAGCCGAGCCGCCGAGCCGCCCAGTCGCCGAGCCGCCGAGCCGCCCAATTGCCGAGCCGCCCGAGCCGCCCTGTCCGGTAAGAGCAGCGCCTCTGTCAGTGCACTGCCCTTACCCTACTGTTCGTGCTGCTAGTCTACTGCTGTCATGGCTACCCCTAGTGTCCTCAGTTTTGACGCTGAGGGTCGGGCCATTGAACATGACGTCTGGGTAGATGACCTGCAGCTTTTCCTACAGTGCGATAGGGCAGACGGTCTCTCCCTCTTTGACCTCACCTCTGGTGCCTCCCCTGCCCCTGCTGCTGATGCCGACGCCACTGTTCGCTCACAGTGGGCCACACGCGATGCTGTTGCACGTCTTGCTGTGCGTCGCCACCTGCCTACCTCTGAGCGTGCGCACTTTAGTCAGTACAAGAGTGCTCAGACCTTGTACGAGGCTGTAGTTGCACGCTACTCCTCCCCTGCCACTGCTGCACTGAGCCGCCTCATGCTACCGTACCTCTTCCCTGACCTTGCTGCCTTTCCCACAGTCGCTGACCTCATTACGCACCTCCGCACTAGTGACACTCGCTACCGCGCTGCGCTTCCTGCTGAGTTCTGCGCCAAGAACCCCCCCCCCCCATGTACATCACCCTCTACTACATAGTCACCCGGCTCCCTGACTCCCTTCGCGTAGTCAGGGACCACTTTCTCTCAGTTTGCCCCACCACTCTCACCGTTGACCTCCTCGAGAAGGCCCTCCTAGCAGCGGAGAAGAGCATAGTAGCTGTAGGAGCCTCTCGTGGTGACCCTCGCACCCCCATCTTTGAGGGGTGTTCCCCCTCCCCCCTTTTGCCCTCTGTTGCCTCTGCTGCTGCGGCTGACCTCGTTGGGCTTGAGTCGGTCGGTGCGGCGTCTACCCCTAGCGGGAGACGCTGCCCTGGCAAGGGCAAGGGGGGCAGGGGCGCTGGAGGAGCTAGCGTGGGCGGTGGAGGAGGCGGTGGAGGCGGTGGAGGGGGTGGGGGTGGCGGTGGGGGTGGTGGCGGGGGTGGAGGTGTCGGTGGCGGCAGTGGAGGCGGAGGCGGCGGCGGCGGTGGCGGTGGGAGCGGAGGTGGCGGAGGTGTCGGAAAATATAATTTAATATTTTCTATATGTAACTGCCTGTAGGATTGGTTACTGTAGTTATAGCATTTTCCTATTTGGTGGTGCACCTTTCTTGCTTGTTCTCTCATATTTGTACCCTTGAACCTATAGTGAACCCCTCTTTTCTCTCGACATTTCTCCTCCAACTCGAACTCAACTTCCTACCTCACTAGCTATGGCTCCTAAGCCTTGCTAGATATTTTACATGCTATCAGAGCTACCAAGGTCCTGACCTGTGGGCCCACCCTACAGCTTCCGCTGCTAATCTGTGTTCGGCACGCCCCGTGACGTGCCCCTTGCCCTACTTTTCGCGGTCCCGTCGCCGCCCTTTCAACGGCCCCGTCGCCTACCTGCGGCCCTACGGCCCCGTCTCCTACCTGCGGCCCTACGGCCCCGTCGCCTACCTGCGGCCCCGGCCCCGTCGCCTTCCTGCGGCCCCGGCCCCGTCGCCTACCTGCGGCCCTACGGCCCCGTCGCCTTCGTGCGGCCCTACGGCCCCGTCGCCTACCTGCGGCCCTACGGCCCCGTCGCCTACCTGTGGCCCCGGCCCCGTCGCCTTCCTGCGGCCCCGGCCCCGTCGCCTACCTGCGGCCCTACGGCCCCGTCGCCTACCTACGGCCCTACGGCCCCGTTGCCTACCTGCGGCCCTACGGCCCCGTCGCCTACCTGCGGCCCCGGCCCCGTCGCCTTCCTGCGGCCCCGGCCCCGTCGCCTCACTACGGCCCCGGCCCAATCGCCCACCTGCGGCCCCGGCCTCGTCACCTAACTGCGGCCCCGGCCCCGTCGCCTCCTTGCGGCCCCAGCCCCGTCGTCACCTGCCGCCCCGCCACCTGCGGCCCCGTCGCCACCTGCGGCCCCGTCGCCCACTTCGGCCCCGATGCCACCTGCGGCCCCGCCCACTTGCGGCCCCGACCCCGCCCCGGCCATGCCCCATCGCCAGCCGCGGCACACCGGGGGCACGTGCACCGCCCCCCCCCCCTTTTCCCGTCACCCGTCGCGGCTCCTTCGGGGGCCGCACGCGGCCCCCTCAGGTCACCTCGACAGGTGCAGGGAGGGGCGACCTGGAAGGGGGGGGCAGGCGTCGCCCCCTCTGCCGCCTGCTTTGGCGCCCGGGGAGGCCGTGCGTCGCCCCCCCCCCCCCCCCCCCCCCCCCTCTCCTCCTCCTTTTGTTCCCGCTGCTGCAGCTGCCGCTGGGGGGGAGGGTGTGAGGGTGTGGGGGAGCCCGGGGAGTGGCACTGGGGTGGCGGGTGTGAGACCACCCAGCAGCCGTCCCTCCACCTCTCCTCTCTTCCCCCCCTCTGCTGCTCCTGCAGCAGTGTGTGGGGGAGGGGGAAGGGGAGGGGGAGGGGGAGGGTGAGGGGATGGAGTGGGAGACCAGCCAGCGCCAGCCCGCCTCCTCCTTTCGTTCCCACTACTGCAGCTGCCGCTGGGGGGAAGGGTGGGAGGGTGTGAGGGTGTGGGGGAGCCAGAGGAGTGGTATTATTGAAACACTTTTCTCCTCCTGCGCAATCGTGATGTACCCCTTCAGAGGGCGCTAACTGCATACTCATCTCCTACAGCCAGTTATGGGGGCGTGTCGGAAAATATAATTTAATATTTTCTATATGTAACTGCCTGTAGGATTGGTTACTGTAGTTATAGCGTTTTCCTATTTGGTGGTGCACCTTTCTTGCTTGTTCTCTCATATTTGTACCCTTGAACCTATAGTGAACCCCTCTTTTCTCTCGACATTTCTCCTCCAAATCCAACTCAACTTCCTACCTCACTAGCTATGGCTCCTAAGCCTTGCTAGATTTTTTACAGGAGGTGGCGGCGGTGGAGGAGGCGGTGACGGTGGAGGTGGAGCTGGTCGGAGTGGCGCTGCGCAGAGGGTCGGCTCCGGTGGTGGTCAGCGCCTGTCAGTAGAGCTACACTGTGAGATCCCCGATCGATCCTAGGGAGGGTTACAGGCGCGTTTGCCTGGGGGGTTATGGGCGCACTGACCCGCTACTGAAACAAGCCCTTTTATCCCAATGGTCTAGTGGTTGGGATTCTGACATGGTATCAGAGCGGTCTCGGGTTCGATTCCCGGTGTATGCACATGTAGGTCGTTGCCGCTGTGCTTAGTCCTGGGCCTCCCAGTGTGGGGGGGTGTCAGTAGAGCTACACTGTGAGATCCCCGATCGATCCTAGGGAGGGTTACAGGCGCGTTTGCCTGGGGGGTTATGGGCGCACTGACCCGCTACTGAAACAAGCCCTTTTATCCCAATGGTCTAGTGGTTGGGATTCTGACAGCGCCAGCAGCGGCAGCAGCAGCAGCGCACTCGTGACATCCCCCCCCCCTCAGCAGCTCCGTGAGTGGTACGCTGCATGCCAGCGGGGTGGGGGTACTGGTCCGTGCACCTACGTCCTACGCCCCGGCGACCGCGCAGGTGAGCAGTGCGGGGGTGCGCACTCCACCCAGCGCTGCTTTGGCTGCCTGATGGACGCTTGGCGTCACTAGTTCCCGGAGGCCACTGAGATCCCCCGCTGGGGCGAGCTTTCTAGGGCGGGAGTAGCTGTCTTTGACCTTGACTTTGATGCTATTCTTGCTGCCATGTATGCTGTGACTATTAGTGATGAGGGTGACTGTTACCGGTGTTTCCCGCCCGGCCCGGGCATTGAGACTGCTGCTCTAGGTACTGGTGAGGCTGCTGCTCTAGGTGCTAGCGAGGCTGCTACTCTAGGTGCTCGTGCGTCTGCTCCCTCAGGTGCTGGTGAGTCTGCTCTCTCAGGTACTGCGTCGGCTTTGGCCTCCCACACCTTCACCCTTGACTCGGGGGCGTCTCACTCCTTCTTTCGAGACCGCACCACACTCATGCCGCTTGGCCGGCCAGTTGCAGTCTCTCTGGCAGACCCCTCTGGGGGTCCTGTCCTTGCTCACTACTCCACTGTCCTCTCGTGTCCGGCGGCCCCCTCTGGCACCCTGTCTGGTCTTTACCTCCCCTCGTTCTCTACGAACTTGGTGAGTGGTGCTGACCTACAGGATGCGGGGGTTCACCAGTTCACTCCTGCGAGTCAGCGGGTGACCCACTGCACAGACGCTCGGACAGGCCGACACCTGGCCACGTTTACACGTCGGCCGGGGTCGAGCCTGTACACACTGACCACTGCGTCTCCTCCAGTCACTGCGTCTGCTCAGGTAGCTGCGTCGGGTCAGGTGTTTGCTGCAGCTTCCAGGTCTGGTCCTGAGTCTGCCCCCTGCTCGTGTCGCCTCCTGTCTCACAAGACTCTCCTCTGGCACCACCGCCTTGGTCACCCCTCCCTGCTTCGTCTCCGAGGCATGGCCTCCCGTGTCCTTGTCTCTGGTCTTCCCCGGTCCCTCCCTCCCCTTCCTCCTGGGCCTGGCCCTAACTGCGTCCCCTGTGTCGAGGGGCGACAGCGGGCTGCCCCTCACTCCTCCCAGTTTCCTCCGACAGAGGCCCCGCTGCAGACGCTTCACATGGACGTGTGGGGCCCGGCCCGCGTCCGTGGACAGGGTCACGAGCGCTACTTCCTGCTGGTGGTTGACGACTACTCGCGTTACACCACAGTCTTCCCCTTGCGCAGCAAGGGTGATGTCACTGAGGTGTTGATTGACTGGATCCGCGCAGCTCGTCTCCAGCTCAGGCAGAGCTTCGGCTCGGACTTTCCTGTTCTGCGTCTGCACTCTGACTGAGGCGGAGAGTTCTCCTCTGGCCTTCTGCGAGCCTACTGTCGTGCACGAGGCATCCGCCAGACCTTCACGCTTCCGGACTCTCCACAGCAAAATGGGATTGCTGAGCGACGCATTGGCATGGTCATGGATGTCGCTCGTACGTCCATGATGCATGCGGCTGCCCCCCATTTTCTGTGGCCGTTTGCGGTTCGGTACGCGGCGCATCAGATCAACCTTCACCCCAGGGTCTCCATGCCGGAGACCTCCCTAGCTTTGCTGTGGACGGGGAAGGTTGGCGATGCGTCTGCGTTCCGTGTCTGGGGATCTCGGGCGTTTGTTCGCGACTTGTCTGCGGACAAGCTGTCCCCTCGTGCTGCTCCTTGCGTCTTCCTTGGCTTCCCCCCTGACGCGCCAGGGTGGCAGTTCTACCACCCCAGCTCTCGCCGTGTTCTGTCCTCCCAGGACGTCACGTTTGATGAGTCAGTCCCCTACTACCGCCTCTTCCCCTACCGCACTCCGTCCCTCCCCCCGCCACCGCTCTTTCTTGTACCAGGTCCCCCCCCGGTAGACCCCCTCCCCCCTCAGGGTCCTGCCCCTTCAGGTGTGTCCCAGGTAGACGCAGTCGAGCCTGTCGAGGTTACTGGTGACTCTGGTGCTGCTGAGGGTGCTGAGCTTGGGGGTGCTGACTCTGGGGGTGCTGAGCGTGTGGGTGCTACGCCTGGGGGTGTTGAGCCTGCGGGTGCTACTACTGGGGGTGCTGAGCCTGGGGGTGCTGCGACTGGGGGTGCTGAGCCTGGGGGTGCTGAGCCTGGGGGTGCTACGCCTGGGGGTCCTGAGCCTGGGGGTGCTACACGTGGAGGTGCTGAGCCTGGGGGTGCGGAGCCTTAGGGAGTTGGGCCTGCTCGTGTGGCGTCTTGCGGTGCTGGGCCTGGAGGTTCTCCGGGTGCTTCGTCTCGACGGGAGCCCCTCTCTCGTCAGGAGCTGCGCGAGTGGTTTGCCTGGCGCTGGAGGCGTGCTGCTGGAGCTGGAGGTTCTTCGGCTCCTGAGGGTGCTGGTGCCGCGGGTCTCGTAGGTGCTCGTACTGGGAGTACTGGAGCTGCTGGGCCTGCGGGTACGACTGGAGCTGGAGGTGCTGAGGGTGTTGGCGCTGAGGCTACTGCTGTCGGTCCTGGAGGCGGTCCTGCTCGGGGTGCTACTGGTGCTGCTGGAGGTACTGGAGCTGGAGGTGCTCCTGGCGCTGGTGCTGCCGCTGGGGGTGCTGGTGCTGTCCCTACTGTGTCTGGAGTCGCCGCGCGGCCTCGGCCGTACTTCGTTCCGCTCCTTCAGCAGGTTCTTGGTCTCCC